AGGACAGCTGGGGCTACAGGAGACCCTGTCTCAAAAAGACAAAAAAAAAGTCCTAGGACAAAACAGACTGGCTGTGCTCTTAACTCTAGATTGCCTTAAAAGGTGCTAAGAATGCAGCAACAAATATGAAGTTCTCCGTAATCCACCTCATTTAGAAGAATGATCACATTTAACAGAAGTCACATTTTATTTAAAAACATTTAAAAACTGGCTGCATAGACTAGAGTGCTAGGCAAATACTGGAGGGGCAGCAGCCTTGAGGCAAGCCTTGGATCTAACCCAAACCAACATGACCTCTTAATGAAGGTGTCAGTGACACTGAAGCCTTTGTTTTTTGAGAAGTAGCTGGGAGGGCAAGGAGGAAACAGCAGGAGCTTTAGTGTTCAGCAGACCTGAACATCACTCTCCCTTTCTTCCACTTCCCTGTTTCTCTTTTTCTCTCCCTCCCTCCCTTCTTCCCTACCCCTTCTAGCTTTATCCTTTCAATAGGATAGTGACATTCCCAGACCCCTGACTTTTAATTGCACAAGTTCTTTAAGGGTAACAGGATGCCCCCATCTGTTTAATGTGAGGACTGCAGGAGATGAGGATGTGGGCCCTGCCTTGAAGTTCTAGGTCGGACAGAATTCTTCTGCCCTTCCAGACCTGGGCAGAGGCAGGAACAGGTGCACTTCATAGAGCCTAACAGGTTGTGGTTTGTCCTCCCTCGTAGAAGTGGTCGACACCAAGGCCGTGTATTTCTTCAACTTGACTTCCATGCAGGATTCGGAAATGATCCTCACAGCTACCTTCCATTTCTACTCAGAGCCCCCACGGTGGCCCCGGGCACGTGAGGTGCCCTGCAAGCCCCGAGCCAAGAATGCGTCATGCCGGTTGCTGACTCCGGGTCCACCAGTGCGCTTGCACCTGGTCTTCCGAAGCCTCTCCCAGAACACAGCTACCCAGGGGCTGCTCCGAGGAGCCATGGCTCTGGCGCCCCCACCACGGGGCCTGTGGCAAGCCAAGGACATCTCGTCCATTGTCAAGGCGGCCCGCAGGGATGGAGAGCTGCTCCTCTCTGTCCAGGTTGATTCTGGGGAGAAGGACCCTGGGGTACCCAGGCCAGGCCCCCATGCACCCTATATCCTTGTCTATGCCAATGACCTGGCCATCTCAGAGCCCAACAGCGTGGCAGTGACGCTGCAGAGGTATGACCCTTTCCCAGCTGGAGACCTCGAGCCCCGCGCTGCCCCCAACAGCTCAGCGGACCCCCGTGTGCGCCGGGCAGCACAGGCCTCTGCGCCCATGCATGACAACGAACTGCCAGGGCTGGACGAGAGGCCCGCACATGCCCCACACACCCAGCACTATCACAAGCATGAGTTCTGGCCCAGTCCATTCCGGGCACTGAAACCCCGCACCGGGCGCAAGGACCGCAGGAAGAAGGGCCAGGATGCATTCAGCACCTCCTCACAGGTACTGGACTTCGATGAGAAGACAATGCAGAAAGCCCGGAGGAGGCAATGGGATGAACCACGGGTCTGCTCCCGGAGGTACCTGAAGGTGGACTTTGCAGACATCGGGTGGAATGAATGGATCCTATCACCCAAATCCTTTGACGCCTATTACTGCGCAGGGGCCTGCGAGTTCCCCATGCCCAAGGTACCACCACTGTGTGCTGCTCTTGTCTAATCCCAGCTGTGCTCTGTTCCTGTTGACCAGTCCTCTGCCTGCCTGACCTCTGTTTCATTATCTACAAAACAGATGTTACATCTGTCCACAGAGGCAGATAAGAGTAGACAGGGGGCATCCCCACAGCCTGCTATGATGTATTTGGTTTGACCATGCTTTAGAAAATGTTGATTTGTTTTTCTGAAACAGATTTTCTCCATGCACTCCAGGCTGGCCTCAATCCTCTTATCTCAGCCTCCCAATTTCTGGGATTAAAGGAATGCACCTGTTTTAAATTGGGACTTTTTAAAAAAAATTTAGAGTATCTCTTTGTAAAAGCAGGAGGGTATTCCCACATAGCAGCCATCTTTAGAGGTTGAGTCAGTGCTGCCTCCCTGTGGACAGGGTAGGTCTCCAAAGTTCCCTCGACCAGTGATCTGTCTGTTCCTGGCCTAGACCCCAAAGCACTGGGTCTGTGAATACCCTGCTGTTGGTCTTGCTAGCTCTCCCAGTGTGGGCTCCCCCTGGTTCAGAGTGTTCACAGCCCGGCCAACCCTCATAGTGCACAGCAGTCTGCAATATGCACAGCCCTGGACTGTTTCATTTTGCTGGCCGTGGATTTTCAGATTTTCATCTTCTTGCAGGCTGAGTTGACTCCCTCCATCTATTATCCTGCAGCCTATGCACAGTGAGCTGTCCATGCCAACCCTCCACATTCACAGGCGTCCCCCTGCTTAGTTAGTTCTGCAGAGCCCCCCATGCTGTGTCCTCCAATAAAGAAAGTCAGTACCTAAATCCAATTTGAACTTTAATGAACAGGCCACGTGGGAAAGCTCAGGCCCATATGTGGGGCTATATAATCTCTGACTGGAATTAAGGGACTTCTCCTCAAAGCCGTGCATGCACAAGAGAAAGGAAGAGAGGTGCCTGGCAAAGAGACATGATCTGCTGGAAGGGCTCTGTATGGGCCTGGGGCAGGTGCTAGACCAGGGCTCTGCAGGCTCATAGCTGCTTGCTTTATCAGCCTGGCTTGCTGCCTCCCCACCTTCCAGAGCACAAGCTGAAACCCCTATGTGCAGGCGGCCCATGCCTTTCTTTTGCTGCCCTTCCTTCTCCCCAACAATAGAAGGTTTCCTTATTAGCTGCATCTGTTTGGCCAGTCTTGAGTTGAAGTCCACAACTTGGCTGTTAATGTTCATCTTGTCAGAGATGGCCACTTCCTAACGAAGGCATCTTGGTCATGTTATTTAGTCATTTTAAGCCGAGGTATTGGCACTAGTAAAATGAAGGTCATGTTGTCCGTATACTTTAATAAGATGTCAAAACAAGTTGACTGTAATGTTGCATCTATCACCCCAGGTCAGACACATGTTGAAACGTCAGTCTCGGACCACACCAAGCATATCATTTTAATTTCAGTCACAGGATCGCTCTGGAGGGATACCTGTTGGTTGAGACATGGTCCTCAGCTTTGCCTCTCAACAGTCTCTGTCCAGTTCCAGGTGCTCCTAAGGGTTATGTGACATGCAGGCGCCCCCAAGTGGCCAGTGCCTTATAGCAGATGTGCCACCCCTTGGAGGCTGGAGTGGATGGTCAGGCCTAGGGCCTCTTGTAGACCTCAGCCTGGAACTAAGTCTTTAACTGATTTCAAAGGAAATATGTGCTCTGCCCTAGGCAGTAGGTTTTTCCTCCAGGCCACCATTTGCACCGTTTGTTCAAGGAATGACAGCACATCACGTGCTCTGAGCTAACTGTCCTTTCTCATCCTGCAGATTGTCCGCCCATCCAATCACGCCACCATCCAGAGCATCGTCAGGGCTGTGGGCATTGTCCCTGGCATTCCAGAGCCCTGTTGTGTTCCAGACAAGATGAACTCCCTCGGAGTCCTTTTCTTGGATGAGAACCGGAATGTGGTTTTGAAAGTGTACCCTAACATGTCTGTAGAGACCTGTGCTTGTCGGTAAGACGGCTCCAGGCTGGAAGGCAGTCATGCCCCATCCCTTCCCTAAAAAATGGCATTCTTGGGGCCAGGGCTTGACTGGGGGCAGTTCCAGATACAGGGCAGAGTTTGCAGGCAGTCCTGCTGGGACCTAGAAAGATCTATCAGGACTTCATGCTGGAAGCTGCCCTTACTAGTGACAGCTCTGTAAATGTTTGAGTTCCAGAAGGAATCTGGAATTAGCCCTGGTCTCAATGTTGCCTATCAGCCCTGCCAGTATTTCCAAGGCCTGGAAATAGGACGTGTCCACAGTATCGCCTGCGTGTGTTCATCATCTCAAAACCTGAGAAGACTATGCAAATCTTATGGTGCTCACCTCCGTCACAGTTTAAATGCTCATTAAAAAACCCTCAAGCTGCCTACTGGAAACAGGGCCTCAATCATGGCATAAATGGGTACTTTCTCTTACATTTCACTGCAAATGTTTTTATACATACAATATGCACATGTAACTGATGTTGGTTTCTTTCCTTTAATATATATTTTATTTTAAGACAAAAAGGAGAAAGTTGACCCCATTCCCCACAGACATAATCATGCTGGTTAGATGTGGGTTGTTTAAACATGCATACAGAAATAACACATACAGTAATAAGTAATATGTTGGAATACTAAAAAAATAACCAAGATTTTATATTTTTGTAAGTTATACTTTGTATACTCTAGATGGTGTGTTTTGTGTGTTTATGAAAAGCTAATAAATTAAAGGTATAGAATCTGGAAAAACTGGATGTCAGATACTCCAAAATATCCATTGCTCCCTACTTAGCCATAAATAAAACATATTGGTAACTGCTGAGTGTACAACATCTTTTAGGACTGGCAGAGGTCCTCCAAGTCATCCGCATATTCTCTTCCAAACTCCAGAAGCCTGGCTGCTTTCCAGAATCCTGCCAAGCCCTCTGTCCTATAAATCCCCACCCTCACTGGCAGCAAAATGGGACATGGTCCAGGAAGGCACAGTTGGTGCCTGGAGTTTCCTCATATCCCTAGCTTTGATTGATTGGGAGGTGTCTGTGGCAGCCTTTGTCTTTAGAGACAGGAAGATGTCTTTTACTTAGGGTAGTGCAGATGAAGGAGATTTAATATAAGCAGTTAGGGGTCTCTCAGACAATACATTGGTTCAAGAGGGGCTGGAAGGGCCACATGGTCTCCTTTGCATGTTTGTAGAATGAACAGCTGTCACCCTGCAGCCCTGTCACAAACAGCCTCCCCCCCAAATGGCTCCACTATGCGTGGTACTGGCATGGCCTTTGCTATCCTTACAGTGGTCACACCTGAAGCCTAGGACTGGGAATTTCTGAAGTCCATAAATACTGGTAAGACAAGAGGAAAGCAAGGAGCTGTGTACACTGTCCCCCCCTCAAAGCACATCACTACATCCATCTGGAGCTGTGGCATGCTCTTTAGCTTGCCACATTCCTTAGTGAGTCCAGCCTTGGGGAGAGGAAGTCAAATGTACAACAGCACCTCCTGTTTCTGGACTGCTGTGGATGGGCTGTGGACAGCCAGTTCCATGGCCTGCTGCTCAGGCAGGCCCCAGTGACTTGGGAGGCCTGGGCACCTCTGAGGAAGACTGCATTGACAGCACTGGAAGCTGAGTGACTGAGACAGGAGTGAGAGCACCCGGTGTGGGTAGGTGAGAGGGATCTGAGGGGACTTGGGGGAGTCTGCCACCATCTTCACAGCTCTTCCTCTGAGGGACTCTGTGCTTTCTAGGACAGGTATACGAACCCATGCTGGTTGGTCAGGTGAGGCAGGGCTACAACGCCCCCCAACCCTTCAGGCTACCTTAGCCCTGAAGGGACTGCCAATGAAACTAAATGGACCCTTCCAAATTGTTGTGGATGGTGCTGATGTTTCAAACTGGCCTGTAGACCTAAGGCTCAGTTTGCCACGTCTAATCCTTTTGTAACACAGCAGGAAGTAAGTGAATAGCAAAAGAAATTAAACTACTGTGGCTTGAAAAGACTCTACCTTTCCCTCTGAATATTAGATCCTGCATGCTACCTCCACTCCATTTTTTCCCATCACTCTCTTTACATCATTGATAAAGCCTTGATGTCCTATGACTGCTTTCTTTAGTTAGTTCTGGTGTTTACAGTTCTGGTATCCTCAAATGCCTGGAGATCCTCCAAGTCTTTGTCTCTAGATTTCTGGGATGAATCAGGACAGCACGGGAGGCTCTCCTGGAGTCAAGTCATAGGCAGGGAGGCAGGCCTGTGCAGGATGGACAGTATTCAAGGGGAGCAACCTTTTCTGGGCATGCCATGACTTTGAGGTGTGGCAAATCAGACATGTGAGTAACAACATCCCCACTCGGCAGTGGAAGGAGCTGGTGTCATCAGTGACACTCCATCCTAACCTACAACGCAGTTGTAAGATGCAGTTTAGATGCAGTATCTCCTTTTATATCTCTCAATAACCTTACAGCCTAACAACCAATGATGGCTGTCTCAGAAAAAAAAAAAAAAACAGAATCACAAAGGATAATGAGTTTATCAGTGTCATACAAGGCCACAGGCAACTTCAGGTTTGATGTTGAGGGCTGCCTGAATCAAGTCCTACATGGCTAGCACTATCCCTGAACTTCCTAGCCAATGACTCCTTCTGTGAATATAGAAGTGCTGAGCACAATCACTGTAAAGCAAGGTCTAAGAGGAAGAAGTATATGCACAAAATTACTTAGCTCCTCTTAAAGCTAGATACATCAACATTACATTGTCCCAAGACCTGAAAGCTTCCAGCACACTAGCTATACATGTATGAGTCCCAGAGGCCTCTCAATTGAGCCTATGCTGGTCTGGAGAGAATACTGTGGTAGGCTGCCACTGGCTTGTGTCCCTGAACTTATACACCCTCTAGATGTATGGGTACAGTAGCTTAGAGATGAGTTCATGAGACCAAAATCCAAGCTTTGGGAAGCTTCAGATTTAGTCCTGTTTTTTTGTTTTGTTTTGTTTTTTGTCTTTTTGAGACAGGTCTCCCTGTAGCTCCAGCTGTCCTGAACTCATTATGTAGACCAGGCTGGCCTTGAACTCACAGAGATCCGCC